CTCAAAACTATCAAAATTCATAATGACGTCTTCCAATAATGTTTCCTTTTTCAGATATTTATATTATTTTCACAAAAACCAAAAAGCGTCCAAGGCAACTTTATTATCTGTTCTTGAGAATCTGTTTATGGTGGATCCTACTTCTGAACTGGTGAAAGATTATTATGATCTTATTATCGAAAATAATRATATAGAAGGTAAGTGACAGTGATGAATAAAATATCAGTGTTTTTTATCTTTATTTACAAAGTATGTCAAAGGTGGAAACTGAGGAGTTTGGGGAAAATTTGGCAAGGCATATATATAGGAATCCTGGTCACATTTTCTTATCATACTTTATCTCTTTTGAACAAATAATTTGGGATAGTTATATTATTATTTCAGGATCTTTACCCATCTATAATACCCCTTGTCCATCATGTGATCTTGTAAACAAACTTCTGATTGGACTATCAGCTCATACAGTATTGATGAATATTTGCTTGGTATTTGCAATTATAGGGGAATTATAAATAGATATAGTTTAAGTTTAACACGGACGTCTCGGCATTTGAAAGATATGAAATTTCATCTCCCGTAACTCAAGCACTCCCAGAGGAATGAGTGATTGAAGCTGTTCGCTTGCAATGGTTGAGGTTTTATCAACACTATTTCTTTTGCATTATTTCATTTCAGACAACAGCAGCATTATTTGCATGCTTCTTGCAATTCTCTTCAACAAACTTGACCATTACTCATCTAAAAACAGCCTTCAGGAATGGATGGCACTTGCGAAAACTTTAGAAGTTTATTACCATGGCAACTTGACAAACAAGGACATTGTTTCCAAGGTCAATGAATACTGGSATGAGCGGTCTGATTGGTGGCCTGGTTACCATTTTGATGTATCCATGGTAGCGACATGTCAAAGTGAGAATGACCATAGTGTTGTCAGACAGAAAGCTAAGGTTGCCAAGTGTCTTATAGGTAAAGGTAAGTGAGAAATTTTCCAGAAAAAAAAATCAATATATTATAAATATTATATGATGAAATGGAGAAAGGACTTGTCCGTAGTCAACCGGATTCTTGAACTATCGGTAGTAAAACGTCCGACTGCCGATTGCTCATCGTCCGACTATCGGTTTTTCGTCGTTCAACTGTCGGCTGTTCCTCGTTGGGCCATCGGCAGTACGTCGGTATGAGTTCGTGAGTTGATTTTTTTTGTATCAAACTTTTTTAACAGATTGTGAGTTTGTCAGGAGAGTGAAGGAACTTAAAAGAAGAAAAGAAAAGACGTCTTCAAATGAGACAGACATTGAAAGCAGCTCGTGTTGTTCAGAGAATGATTTGCAAAGAAAACTGAAAAGAAAGTTAAGAAATAAGGATTTAAACAGTCCAACGAAGAAGAAGAAAGATAAGACATAAGACTTTGTTTTAAAGGACCTCTTGCCGAAGAACCTTTACGATCGTTTTTCTTCCTGATATTTAAAGTTGCTTTGTAAGTGGTTCAAAATAAAAGATGGCGTCGCAAGAAAAAAAAATGGACCTTTAATAATTTACTTTCGAGTGAACCGCTCTTCACAATTTGTATAAAAAAGTTGAATCAATTTGTGGAATATTACGTCCGTGGTGACATAGCCTTCCCCCCCTCCCCCCCCCCCTCCCCCCAGGCAAAACCATTTGACAAATTCAATATTCAATAAAGGTAGGGAAAAATAATATTGTATTTCTCAGTGTTGTTTTTATTTTCTTGCAAACGAAGGGTCTTTTAAAAACCTGTCTCTCGCGGAAAACTTAATTAGCCTACGTAACATCCGGACTTTTCCTTCTTAAAGTCTCCATTTAGTCATCGTATAGTCTTTGTTAAGCTTTCTTTCAGTTTCCGTCTGCTGTCCGCCTTAGACCGACTAAACGAAGGGCAAGTTCGGATGTCACGAAGTCTTTGTATAGTCTTCGTTCAGTTTTCGTTTAGGTCCCGTCTGCTGTCCGCCTCAAACCGACTAAACGAAGGGCAAATTCGGATGACACGAAGTTCAGGAAATCTCCAATGCATGAATAAGCGCCAAATATAAAACCCTTTACCAAATTCTTTGCTCCAGTATAACTAAGAAACTAGAAGGTTCCACTCTGTACAACACCTTGTAACAAATTGTCCAGTTTATCTTGATTCTTTCCGCATGTATTTACCCCCCAGTACGAGCCCAAATCATGATAGATGCTGGTAGGGACTGAGTTGTTATTCAATGCAGCGCAAATGTTACATGTCCAAACGACCGGGAGACTATATTCTACTTTGTACTTAGTTTTCCAAAGAAAATACGCATTGTACGCCGAGTCATTCGCATCTAGATAGTTCAAATATTCGGCCAGTGCTCGAACAGATTTAAAGTCGAGCACATTGATAAAGGAGCCTGGGATTGCAACTTCCGGTCCATAGTTAGAGCCCAGTACTACAGGGACCATGTCGTGGTCAAATGGTGTGTACCAGTACTTCTCGGTCACGTAGTCCACACACATTGCATTTTCAAACGCCAAATAGAATTTAAACCTTCGTAAGAGGCTCGAGCAGCGACGCGATCCCCGTCGACAGTGATTTCCAGTTTGGTTGAAATGTTTTGCGCATGCTCCAAACACGGTCACATTGAGGTACATTGAAAGTTGCTGTACCACATGGTCGCGAGGTTTTCCGCAGTGACCAACCATCCAAGCAACTAACTTGTCTTTCTTAGCAGCGTAGTTTTTAGGCTCTTCAATAGTCGATAATTCTTCGGGCGTCAGTCGGCGATAGTAATTGTAGGGCACGAAGAAATCCGAATCTGTCCGATAAGTCATCGTCCAGTTGAATAAATGATTGTATTCCGATAGATTTTTGTACGAAAAAAACGGGTTTTCGTGTACGAGGAAGGCCCATCGCTGCCTAGAAGTACGTGGTATTTTTGCCAGTTCAAAGGCACTTGGGAGATCTCGAGCGTGAAACAGAACTGCATCACTGTCTTTAACTCGAGACTTGTTGTATGAGATGAGACAGTTTCTAACGGGACACGGTTTTCCCCGAAAATGTGTAAAGTTGTACGAGTATTCCAGTCCAGGCCATGGTGTTCTGTCAAATAATGGAGTATAAATCAAAACAAGTTTCTTTTTTCCCTGATAACTTTTCTGCTGAAAAGAACTTCGTCGTTTCGTATTGAAGTGAGCCATTTTGGACGACCAACTCTGATCTAAAAAGAGAGAAAACGTCCAAGCTATACTCGTCAATAGAATTATCATCATAAGAAGCTTTAGTAAATTTAAAAATCTTATCATTTTTTCATTTAAAAGATGAATCCAGATCGAGTTCAATATATTTGCTTTTGGTATTATTTCACACCACATTAATTCATGTTACAACCGCTTTTCAATAAAAGGTCGTTTTCAAAATGGCTCCTTGGCAACAACATCAGTGATACAAAAATGCGATTGTTTTATTTTCTTCACTGCTTGATATTAGCATTTCACAACTTCATTTTTTTATTATTATTGACATTAAAACTGGTGTTTTTTCGATTTAATTGAAGCACGAATTTAAAAAAGGACAATGTATTATATCCTAACGAGACCCCGGGGGGGGGGGGGGGGCACTCGACCCCATTATGGATAGGTACGTGCCGCCAGCGGTCTAAATCCCTGACCCTGTTTAAGACACTAAAAAGTAAAAATCCATACCCTGTTCAAGACAAATCGGAAAAATAAGGAATAGCTATCTACGCCGCAACCATCAAAAATGCAATTATACTGACATCCATCAAAGACAATAAGAAGTTTTTGATAACACGTTAATTCTGGGACAGTGAAACGGTATTTCTACGGTGTTATGAAAATATTACCCTGTCCAAGACACACACAAAAATTATATCGGTCTCTTTTATCTAAATTGTAGAGCCTGTTTAAGACAATTTCGGGTGAAATGTATACCCTGTTTAAGACAGCAAGGCCAAAAACCATACCCTGGCCTGTGGCACGTCCCCGTATAGCAAATATATGGGAGTACCCCCCCCCGGGAACGAGACCCTGATTTCAGGGTTGACTCGTGTCTTGACAATGAGTTGGCAAGAGTCTTTGAATAGTGAATAATTAAACCATGAGCTATAGGAAACATGGTGTTTGTGTACGAGTGTATAAGTGTATAAGTGTTCACATCTACAGTGTTATGAATCAATAAAGAACAATTTTGCAACTAGTTGAACGTCTTTTTATTACCTTTTGTGCTGTATCCCTAAAACTCCACCATATAGTGGTTATCTATCCAAAAAAGTTCCATTTTGCTGTATAAACACAGCAGATACGACGATAGTTCAGTGACTATAAGGCGGCCAGGCTACCTACCTGTATTAAACAGGCTCTACAATTTAGATAAAAGACCAATATAATTTTTTTGTGTGTCTTGGACAGGGTAACTTTTTCAAAGACCGTTTCACTGTAGCAGGATTAACGTGTTATCAAAAACTTCTTATTGTCTTTGATGGATGTCAGTAAAATTGAAGTTTTGATGGTTGCGGCGTAGATAGCGATTCCTTATTTTTCCGATTTCTCTTGAACAGGGTATGAATTTTTTCTTTCTAGTGTCTTAAACAGGATTAGGGTTTTAGACCGCTGGCGGCACGTACCTATCCAAAACGAGGTCGGCCATATTTTTTAGCTTTCGCATGCAATCACAGGCATTCAGAATATGGTAAAAACTAGAAAAGATAACTGCTGACCTGTAAATCAAAGGCTCGGCCATGCGGCAAGTGAAAGGCATGATGGGATTRTGGTCGACGAGGGCCTGGCACGAGCCAAGACTGTGACGGTCGCTCATTTACAAAAATCCCTTCAAACAGTCTTCCAACCTCGTACCCAGACCCTACTCAAACATCCCTTGATTTTGTTAGTAAGATGAAAAGGTCCTGGTTACAAGAAAGGCACGCTTCACACCCGACAAGACAACGCAAGTTCACCTGGCGTTGGATTAACATCCTAAAAAGGGAATATTTCCAAGTCAAATTCTCCTACATCAACTAATTAAAGGCCCTAATACAACCTAGGGCTGCCTAAGTGTGAGATCCTATAGCCCACGAAAATATCCAAAAATGGACGATTTTTGATCAAAATGCATGGCCTATAGCCCACCAAAATGGCCAAAAATGGTCGACTTTTGATGGAAATGCATGGGCTATAGCACAACAAAATGGCCAAAAATGGTCGATTTTTGAT